AATATTTTGATAGAAACTTACAGGCAATATATTGAATTAACTGGTCAGTTGAGCTGACAGTACGTTAGCCAGCTAAATGGGCTAAAACAATTGACGTTATTGTTTTAATGAAGAATCACTTTTATTGTTTTAATAGGAGTGATTGTTCATTAAAACAATAACTTCTATTGTTTTAGTCCATTTAGCTGGCTAACGTACTGTCAGCTCAAATGACCAGTTAGTTCAATATATTGTCTGGAAACTTACGAATGAATCTCAAACAGAACAAGAATCTATCTCCTTTTTTGGTACGTAGGTTGCTCCATAATTTTTTTTAAAATGGTACTTATAGTGTTGCCCGATGTAAACCATTGTCATATTCGTAAAGTTTGATGTTTTGGTATGTATTCGTGCCCTGAACCTTTTGTCGTACGAACGCTATTTGTATTGTTTACAGTGACTGGTAAACTGCGACTCAACAAAAAAATGAATTTTACACGTGAAGATTTTCGTAAAATGATTTACTACGATTTTCGAAGTAAATTATCTCAACAACAGTGTTTCGATCGACTTCATTTGGCCTTTGGCAATGAAGCACCAACCCTTCAGACAATTTATAACTGGTACCGAGAATTCCGTTGCGGTCGTAGTTCGCTCAAAGACGAGTTTCATACAGGTCGTCCAAAATCGGCTGTTGTACCACAAAACATCGATGCTGTCAGAAAACTGATTATGGAAGATCGTCATGTGACCTACCGTGAGATTGAGGCATCTTTGGGCATTTCATCCCACAGCATACATACAATTTTGCATGAACATTTAGCCGTAAAAAAGATTTGCTCTCGTTGGATCCCACATAAATTGACCGATGAACAAAAAATGGCTCGTGTGAGTTGGTGTAAAGAAATGCTCAAGAAATTCAATCGTGGTGCTTCAAAAGACGTTAATAAAATCGTCACTGGTGACGAATCGTGGATATATGCCTATGAGCCCGAAACGAAACAGCAGTCGACTGTATGGGTCTTCCAAAATGAAGATAACCCAACGAAAGTTGTTCGAGCAAGAAGCACTTCGAAGCGAATGGTCGCCTGTTTTTTCGGGAGAAGTGGTCATGTGGCAACCGTTCCACTAGAGGATCGTAAGACCGTCAATTCTGATTGGTATACCACCATTTGTTTGCCCGAAGTGTTTGGTGAAATAAGAAAAAACAACCACCGTCGCAAAATAATTCTTCATCACGATAATGCGAGCTCTCACACATCTTTTCAAACTACTCGATTTTTGACCGGTCAAAACATCGAACTGATGGGTCATCCACCGTACAGTCCTGACCTGGCACCCAATGACTTTTTTTTGTTCCCAACGATTTTCGACACCAGAAGAAGCAGTTGAAGCGTTCAAAACACACGTTTTGGAGATATCAGTTTCGGAGTGGCACGAATGCTATGACAAATGGTTTCATCGAATGCAAAAGTGTATCGATCATCTCGGGGAATATTTTGAAAAACAATAAAACCATTTTCGACAAAAAACAACTGTGTTATATATGTTTTTAAAAAAAATTATGGAGCAACCCTCGTACACACACTAAATGATTCAACACACAAAAATGACAAAAATCTTAGGATTTGCAGAATAATTGTGAAATCGATACAAAACGCAATACGAGTATGAATTATCAGCAAAATCATAGAATAATTGAAACGTTGAATTGGAATTTACACTGCTGTAGTTTATATCGGAATAAAATGTAAGATTGATTTGTTGACTTGGTATTTACAACGCCAAACGTGTTCTCGCCCGTTCGAACAATCGGCGCCTTTTGAAAGGTGCCCGCACCATTTCTGCGCCTTTTAATGAAATGACGAGAAAAAGAATAAACAACCCATCGTATGACTCGTATATAAACAGCGTGTACGAAAAACAGCATAGTAGGCGTAGATTCATTAGATTTTTTGTATTTTTTGTTCCTCTTTGCGCGGATCTTCGCCGCACAATGGAGATTTAAACGAAGAAGAAGTATGGTCTTAGCATTTTAGCATACAAAAAATCGAATGAACTACTATGCTGTTTTTCGTACACGCTGTTTATATACGAGTCATACGATGTGTTGTTTATTCCTTTTCTCGTCATTTCATTAAAAGGCACAGAAATGGTGCGTGCGCCTTTCAAAAGGCGCCAATTGTTCGAACGGGTGGTATGAATGAAGCGGCGTTTATGACATTTCGAAAACCAATGAAATGAACGTCAAATGTCATAAGGTTCGGTTCACATCAATAATACTAATTCAATATTTAGACATCAGACAATTTTTGCTTTAGTTTATTATATCATTTTAAGTGTTGTTATTGTGCCATTACTGGAATTATCGTTTTATTTTATCAATAACAAAATGTTATACTCCAGTGTCGATAAAATAAGTTTTTAACAAAGTGAATAGCGGCGAAATGAGACATAATATTGGGTGTATCGATTAATTTCCGGATTTTTTTTTGGTGAAAATGAATACTTGACTTAAATAAAATTGAAAGAAAATGTCATTCAAAGTATTGTCCATCGCTAGCCACAACTTTTGTCCATATTTTAGTCAAAAGACGAAAATCGCTCCGAAATGATTCTTCGTCCTTTGAGGTTATGTATTCATCGACCCATTTTTTGGCTATTCCATAAATAGAGAGCTGCCAATCAGGCACACATCCAAGTGGGTACAATTCGGAAAAGGCAGTGTCCATTGACCATGCGGGGGAGAAAAAGACGTTTCTCTCCAACTGCGATTATCTTATTCTGGACCAGGTGTGCAAAAAGTCAGAAAAAATTTGCTCCTCAAAAATGGCCATTTTTTGATTTTGGAATTTTTTTCGTTTCTTTTACTTTCGAAATGGGCTCAAATCGACTAAATATTATTGGCAGAGACCATTTCTATCATTTCAGATAAGTTTCAGCATTTTTTGATGCACAGTATCCTTCCGATTGCACCGAATATTGAAAAAGTCCCCAAAATTGGGGGGTAGTTGCCACCAGCCAATTTTTTATGGTTGGCTTGAATCGATTTTTTTCTTTTTTGCTCTAAGCTATTGAAAAAGGTCCATTCTACACTATCAGTGACAACACTGTGCTTGAATAACTTTTTTATGCATTTTGTGGCATTATCATTTTTGCCCCCCGCAAATTATGGTTTTTTCTCCAACTTTCAAAATTTTCCATCGTTGAAAAAAAATATAATGCACACCAACAAATGAAACACTTTTGACTGATTTTGACAGTATTTGAATAGGCCTTTCAAATGACTTTTATATCATTGATCTTCTACAACGCACAAGCAGTGGTGACATCTGTTGTCAGAGTCCGGAAATTAATCGATACACCCAATATTTGACAATGAAATGACGGATTGGTGGAATAGTAGGATTAGTGTTTATATATTGGAATCATGGTTTAATCGTTTGTGTCTCCCCCCTAGGTGCTAGTTTTATATAAAAATAAAAAGACATGTTTCAGACAGTAAAACACTGATATAGATTCTGAATTTTTAGTTTTTGATGTTTTAATCAACAAACTTGTTCACCAAAAGAAAAACTTGTAAAAACTTTTTGTAGTTTTGATTACATTTCCAGTTTAAATTCAACGTTTAATATAATAAGAACGCTCCAAAGTATGTGAATATTCGAAATGATTGCTGTTACGTAGTAAAATATGTTTTGCATATGCGCAATGAGCGCTAATATCGTAGATTTTTCTTTATCGATTCCACCAATACGACATCTACTAAAAAACTCGCCGATTTCTGTTACTAGTGGTGTTTTAATACAGCTCGTGTAAACGTACAAAGGAACACACTGACTCCGATTCTGTGTTTGCGTATGTATTACAAATTCTGCACTCAGTCGTCAATCGTAGCTGCTTGTGCAAAATTTACAATACATACGCATACACAGGATCGGAGTCTGTGTGTTCTTTTGTATTAGTTCATCTGTAATACAGCCATAGCTGTATAGCTCGCTCGAGCTGTGTCAAAGCAACAGTAGTAACAAAAATCGGTGTCTTTTTTAACAGATGTCGTATTCGTAGAATCGATAAAATTAATTTGTATGGGGAATATACGATACTAGTTCCCATCGCATATGCGACACACAGAAAGTTATGTGAAAAATTTAAAATTTCTAACACCTTTTGTTCCATTTTCAATTGTTTGAGACTGTGAAACGATGAAAAAGAAAGAATAGAGAATTGCGTTGATCCAAATCATGACACAAACACACCGAGCATACAAGCAACCAACTTCGAATTCACTTATAATTTAATTTCAACATAAAAACTTGAAAAGGATCAAGAAGAAAATGAAGGAAGAACAAAGTGTATTTTATTTTAATTGTATATGCATTGTCCGAGGAAAGTAATGTACATTTTTGGGAATATTTTTCAAATTAAATGTAAGTTAACAATTCAAAGTATGAACATTTTAACTTTTTGACATTTACACTTTAGCAACTGCTTCAAAAAGTCTAAAATTCACTCAGCAGATACTTTTATAGGAACTATTCTGTGATTCAAGTGCAAATTGATTGATCAATTAAATGAAATCACATAAACGATTGAACGGGTTGAAGATAACAATTGTTCAATTGAACGTGTGACGTGCTATCAAATGAACTTGCACAATGATATACACTAGTGGCCCACTGTGATTTCGGTCGCAATTGAGTAAACACTCAATATGAGAGAGTAATAATAGTCACTTGTCATCATGATCATGGTACGTTTTTGTTTGTGCAATATTTTGTTCAACACTTGATATTTTGTTATCTCATCGAATTAATACGATTGTACTAAATGTATTCCGTCTACACTAGATTGCTCTGTTTCCGATTTATTCATAACATGATGATTTGCGATATATGTACTAATAATAATTTATCGTGTGCAAAAAAGTCAAAGTTTGTTATATTTTTCTCATTCAATCATTTAGCTATTTATCAATTTGCACTTGAACCAAAGATAATGTCTATAAAAGTGGCCACTGATTGAGTACAAATTTAGTTCAAAAACGGCTGCTAAAGTGTAAATAACAAAATGTTAAAATGTTCGTGCTTGGAATTGTTTTGATTTTGATCACTTCGTTCTACATTTGGTTAAAATGGAATTACTCCTACTGGAAACGACTTCAAGTGCTCGGTCCGAAACCAACGCTTTTGGTGGGTAATGTTGGACCAACTTTTACCTTTTCGGAACATTGGGGTATACTAGTCGACAAATGGTACAGGTATGTGAGAGTGAAATCAGTGCTTCGTTCGTTAAAAATACTTTTCATTTCAAGTGGGGCCGCTCGTAGTCGAGAATCGACCACTAAATCGTATCTCTTTTTTAAAAATAAAGAGTCTTACAGGAGTAAGACGAACTTTTCCGCACGGTGGTAGATGCGTATTCTATTAAGCTATTTCAAAATAATATTTGTTCGATTTTTCAAGCCTTTCAAGCGGCGTAAAGTTCGAGACCAAAAAATATGTTTCAACTTTGGCATCGAAATATTCTTTTATTTAATAGCAGAAGTACTCGGAAAAGATTTTTCACACTTCATGATGAACCCATTTGTACGACATTTGAAAGAATTCTATTTTCTATAAAACACTATAAAAAATATGTCTGACGTTAATTTTGCCATAAACATTATTTTTGAAACACTTTTCATACAAAAGTAAAACAAAATGGATTTTTGTATGGGAATCATACCTGTATGGTATCGTAAGCACGTGAAACTTTGCACAGGTTATTTTTTTCACAAAAAAAAACCATTCGAAAAGTTTGGAGAAATTTAAACGAAAATTATGAGTACCTCCCATACAAAATATTCTTTTTTGAACCAAAAATTGAAAATTTTGTATGGGAGGTACTCCTAATTTTGATTAAAATCTCATCAAACTTTCAGAATGTTATTTTTTTGTGCAAAAAATAGTCTGTGCAAAGTTTCACGTCATTAAGGTGACGGCATGGCTCCCATACAAAAATGCAATTTTTTGGTGATTTTTTCAAGGAAACTGTATCAAAAAGTGATTGTATCTCAAAATTAACCTCGGATTCGGTTTTCTCGTGCCAAAAAACCCCCCAATACATATTTTTGAGTGTTTAAGTCTAATGATTTCTATTCCTCGGGACCCCCAATCATCCTGTTCAGTCAGATTTTAAATAACTTTTCTGGGGGGTGAGATAATCGATGGACAAATTTTGCGTACGGCGGACAACGTACGACGTACGACGTACGACGTGGAACAGACCCACACCAACCATGCTCAAAACGGCCTGATTCGGGTTTTCTGACCTCAGAAACGTCCAGAAAACATGTTTTTGAGGTTTCGTAAATTTTGACCCATTGCAATACTTTCCCCTTTCACACTAGGTGTGTGCGGAAAAGTAATAAATTCCAGTACTTCAGTGAGTTGTGCGAGAATCCAATTGTTTTAAAAAGTGTGAATTCTTAATTTTTACAGAGATTATTCAAACGAACCATACGTTGGGTACTATAAACTCTGGAATCCAGCTATTTTAGCTCGGGACGCTGATTTGGTAAAAGATGTGATGATTACAAATTTCAATATCTTTCGTGAAAATGGTGTTAAGGCGAGCAAAAAATACGATCCACTATTGGCTGCAAATCCATTTTTTGCTTTAGATGAAGAATGGAAAACCCTGCGCAAACAATTGACTCCAAGTTTTTCGCCAAGCAAAGTAAAGTGTAATTTGATAAATGAAAACATTTTTTTTGCTCAAGATAAGTTTGCTTTCAGCTCAAAACTATTTCGCCGATGATGACTGGCGTTGGAGATGAATTTATCAAATTTATAAAATCTTATACATCTGATCACGATTTTGAGGCTAAGCATGTAATTAAAAGTTATACTTATTATATATTTTAAAGATGTGAAATCAGAACAACTTCAATGGCGACAAGGACAGAAAGTGTCTAATAAAGTGTATCTCTTTTTTTTCTAGCTTTCAATGCGATTCATTACTCAAAATGTGATGAAGTGTGCATTTAGTATCGATGCCGATAGTTTCAATAAAGATCACGACTCCGAATTTCTTTTATTATTAAAAGAAATATTCGATCCATCATTATTAGTTGGATTAAAATTTTTGGCGTGGCCACATCTATCACAAACTGTCGCTGACCTACTTCCATTTCCGTGAGTGATGTACAAAATTGTAAATGATAAAGAAGCAAGCAAGCTTGTTTAATTTTAAATTAATTCTATTTCTAGATTCATCACCAAATCCACAGACCGCGCCATTCGACATTTGATTGAAACAAATAAAGCGGCACGATCTGGAAATATTCAAAGTCAAGATTTTTTCCAAACAATGCTTGAGATTCAAAGAAAATTTAGTAAGAACAATATTTTGTATAAATTTTGTTTTTTATTAAACTTCAATCGATCACTCTTTTCCAATTCTTAACAATGTAGATTTCGATGATACTTTATTGGCTGGTCATGCAGTTTCTTTGTTCACCGAAGGCACTGAAACTTCAAACACAACCATGTCATATGCTTTGTACGAATTAGCAAAAAATCCAGAATGTCAAAGGAAATTATATGACGAAATTTCGAAAGTACTTTCAAAATACGATGGACAAATTACATTTGATGCGATCCAAGAGATGCCCTATTTAGATGAAGTAGTACTGGAAACATTACGAATCCATCCTCCCGTGCTAACAATGAGTAAAGTTTGCACCGAAAACTATACTTTGCCAAAAACTAATGGACAATCGGAACCAGTGACCATTCGACCAGGAACTTTTGTTCAAATCCCCATATACTCTATTCATATGTAAGTGTAAAAATGAATAATTCATTTTGGTGTTTTAGTCTTTAATTGAAACTTCGTTGGAAAACAGGGATCCGAAGCATTATCCAAATCCAGAAGAATTTCGGCCAGAACGATTCAATGAGGAAGAGCAACGCAAGCGTCATAAAGGAACTTATTTGGCTTTTGGAGAAGGACCGCGTATTTGTCCAGGCATGCGATTTGGAATGTTACAAGTTAAATACGCTTTGGTACGCGCCGTTCAAAGTTTCAACATCAAACTTTCGCCGAATCATAAACCGATTGTTTTAGATACACAATCATTTTTATCCGTTCCAAAAGATGGTATTCTTGTTCGTTTTGAATGTCGATAAAACTATGCTAAACTATTCATTTTTCTTTTGTCAATTTAGCGAAGCAAAATTATTTGGTCACTTTTCTTCATTCATTTTGTATTTAGAATTAATATTAAACGCACTAACTTTCAATATTATTGTTGGACAATGTTAACACATGGTCCACTTAAAAACAAAATTTCTTTTGTATGTAATTAACTGGTTAAAATGCTTTAAATATGATATTCATACTAAATTTAATAAATGAAAGAAACCATTGTTTCATTGGAAACAAGGACAATCCAATTTTCACTAATAAACTGAACTACATTTAAAAAGTGCTTTATTTTTTATGATTTTAACCTTTCTCGATTTTATTATTGCTGAGTCACGATATACATGTGAAACACCTTATCGCCAGAAAAAAATGAGTTTGAATTGTGTAATATTTCAAAAGACCTTCAGATATACTTCCACTCTAATTTAGATTATACAAAAATAAAAAATAAACATGTTTTAGACAGTAAATTACCATCTAAGTTCTGAATTTTTTGTTTTTAATCAACAAATATTAGAAACAAACTTGTTCACAAAAAAAAGAACATATAAAAACTTTCCGTAGTTTTGAGTACATTTCCAGTTTAAATTGAACGTTTAATAAAATAAGTTCGCTCCAAAGTGTGTGAAATGATTGCTGTTACGGTATTTGTGGCGTTGATAACGTGGGCGATAGTAAAATATGTTTTGCATATGCGACACACAGAAAGTTATGTGAAAAATTTAAAATTTGTAACACCTTTTGTTCCATTTTTTGGTAACATACTTACGTTGATTAGAATTTCGGGTGACAATGCTGAAACATTCTCTGAATTATTTGAGACTGTAAAACGGCAAGAGACTCCATTAAAATCATACATTGGCCATGAATTAAATATTATTTTAGATAAACCAGAAGATGTGAAAACGATTCTCACGTCACCAAATTGTCTCGATAAACCGTTCATGTACAACTTTTTCCCATATAAACATGGACTGTTAAATGAAAGATGTAATTTTGATTATGTTTTTTGTTGCCAAAATGTGAAGAAAAGCAATCTGATTTTGTGATTTCTTTTTAAGCGGGTAAGCGTTGGAAACCGATCCGCAAACTGTTCAATCCGATGTTCAATTTGAAAATGTTGCAGTCATTCATACCAATTTTCAACGAGAAAACAAGAAAGCTAGTAAAACAGCTTGAAAAAGAGGTTGGAAATCGAAAAGGATTTGATATAGAGCATTATGTAGGTGCCTGCAATTTGGATTCGATTTGTAGTGAGTATTTTTTTTTTTAAATTCAAGGTTGAGTAAAGGATTTGTAAATTTAAATGAAATAATATTTTTTCGGGTAGCCACCATTATGGGTCTCGACATTGATTTGAATTCTAGTGGAGGAAAGGAGTTCATACGCAGTTTTGATAAGTAGATATTTCAGTTTTGCAGATAGAAGGCCTATTCGAAATCAAGTCACATTTCTTTATTTTATATTTTAGCATTCATAATGTAGTCGCGAGGCGGATAGCCAGTCCCTGGACATATTTTGATTCAATTTATCGCTGGACAAATTTGTACAAAGAAGAAGAAAAAGAAGTGTCCGCTATGCGTTTTCTAACCAATAAGGTATTATTTGTTTACAGTTTACAATGGTTGTGTTTATTACATTGAATTAATTTTAACCTTTTACAACTAGGTCTTTGATGAAAAAACCAGAGCCCATTTGGCTCTTGAGAATAATAATCCACCAGAAAGTCTCGATTGCGGTTCGAAAAGAGCACATCTTCCAATTATTCCGTTGTATTTTGAAGGAAAACTGAGCGAGGAATTGGTGAAACAACAAATCGAAACATTTTTGGGTGGGGGGTATGAAACAACTGCCTTAATTACGTCTTTTACCATTCTTACACTTAGCATGCATCCGCATATACAAGAACAAGTATTCGACGAATTGCATTCGGTGTATGAGACTCAAGATGAAGAGACAACCTATGAACATATCCGAAAATTGCATCTTCTAGACCGTGTTATCAAGGAAACTATGAGACTCTTACCTCTGGCTTGCTTACTCTTACGCACTACCACTGCCGAGATACCAATCAGCAAATGTACACTTCCAAGAGATACTTCGATTATTATATCAGTCTTCACAATGCATCGGGTAAAATTATATGAAAAATCCTCGACACACAAATTAATCGGTTTTTAATTGAATTTTATCACATTTTATAATACAGAGAAAAGACATTTGGGGCGATGACGCGAATGATTTCAATCCCGATCATTTTCTGCCGGAGAACGTTGAGAAGCGGCATCCCTTTGCATTTGCGCCGTTCAGTTTGGGTCCTCGTAACTGCATTGGTAGGCCAATCTTACGTCAAATTGTCCATTTCTTTTAATAGCTCTTCTTAATTCGTAGGTCATCAGTATGCAATGTTCTCAATGAAAGTGATGCTGTCGACCATATTGCGCAAATTCAAATTCAGCCCAGTGAAATTAATGAAAATGTCAGACCTAAAATTAACATTTGAAATTACGCTGAAGTTGGTGGACAAGTACTTGGTGACAGTATCACCGCGTAATTGGTAATTGTATGACTTTTTTGGCGTGTATATTTGCTGGCTCAAAAAGAAATTTGTCATAAAATAAAAATGCGAATAAAATTGCAATTTTGAATTATTAAAACAAAAAAGCATACTTCAACATTTGTGGACTTTAGCAAAAAAATAAAATAAATTTTGATGAAAAAAGTGGTGTCAATTGCTTGCTTAATTTTTTCCATTCTTTATGTGAAGTAAAAAATGCATTTGGCGGGCATTTGTGGACTTTGAAGAAATACAAACAACATTGAAATAAAAAGTATTTTTAACGAATAAAGCACTGATTTCACTTGCACATTCCTGTACCGTTTTTCGAATATTATACTCCAAATTTACGAAAAGGTAAAAGAGTTGGTTCCAAAAGAGATGGTTTCAGCTATCTTCTAAGAAAATGCATTTGACTCTTTTTGATTGTTCAAGAAAAGGCTAGTTTCTAGTATACTTAATTCCATTGAATTTGATTTTCTTTTAGTTTTTTTAGTATACAAACAAAACTGAAAATATTCTGATTATTTCTAGTGCATTCACACAGAATAAAATAGAATCCATCGTTCTTTCTGAACCATCATAAGAATAGCATTGGCAATGTATTTTGAATGGCACTGCTAACGTATTCTTTACGACGGATTTCATCCATATAAAATGTATTGTCAATACTTTCAATAGGAAAGAATCGACATGAACATTTTTTCACAAATGCTCTACTATGCTGTGATTTTTTATAGTAAAAATCATGTCTTTCGCCTATGGCAAAGGTCATAATGGAATATATCTGTAGTTGAGAAAAACTACTTTATTTTAATGGAATGACTTACACAAACCAAACGAAAAAACATTTAATAACTGAAAACATTAGCAATGCATACCCGTCTTTATAGTATGTTTTTATTTTTTACATACTTTAATGCCTTCCGACATGAGAACATGACTCGCTGCTGCAATGTTTCCAACTATAGTGTCTGAAGACGCACATCGCGTCTAATTGTCTATTAAATTAATTAGCTAACTCTAACATACTACTCGAATTTGTCGACTACTTTGCTTACTTGCAAATTATAAAACAAGTGAAAAAGCGGTCCAACCCCATATAAAAGTACCACATTTCAAACGATTTACAGTTTGCCGTCAACCTTTCATCACATAACGTCTGAACAAAGCAGAAGAATAAGTTCTAAAAATGATAGCAGTGACATTGATAGTGATGTTTGTGATTTGGGCGATCATAAAATATATCTTGATTATGCGCCACACAGAAAGTTTTGTTAAAAATGTGAAATTTCAAACTTCGTTCTTTCCATTTGTTGGAAACCTCCTTTCATTAGTTAGAAAATCACCAGAGGAGATTTTCCAAACTTTTACTGAATAGCTCACAAAGATACACCATTGAAATTTTATCTTGGCACAAAACTATTTGTTACTCTCAATAAACCTAGGGGGCAGACACGTGGAATAGGATTAGACTTTTAGTGTAAAGATTCGAGAAATTGCAATGAAATAGCAACGCCTGTGAATGGATTCGCGTGGAATAGCGAAACAGTGCATGGAATAGCAAAAATTGTTTCACTTCAAATCCATTTGACACTTCTTTTGACGTTTATTGATGGATTAGTGGAATATTGCGGAATAGCAGAATTAATATTTTTGATGGAAACAGTGCATGGAATAGTAAAAATAGTTTCGATTTCATATTTGTGTTTTTGGATTAGCAAATAGCTGGATTAGTAATTTATATAGTGGATTCGGAATTTATTCTTGGTGTCTCCCCCCTAGCAATAAACCGGAAGATGTGAAAGAAATTCTCATGTCATCAAATTGTTTTGATAAGCCGTTCATGGCTGAATTCTTTCCATTTAAAAATGGAATTGTCATCGAAAGTTGTAAGTATTATTATAGACATTATATTGAGATATTTTCAGCCAGATATCGTCAGGAGCTAAAATTGATAATGTCTGGTATTATTAAGTTGTATTAACTGTTAATTTAACATTTTGATTAACATTGAAAATTCTTTTAAAGCTGGTGCACGTTGGAAACCACTTAGAAAATTGTTGAATCCTGAGAGACGAGGTCGGAGGACCAGAGTTTAATTTACTAAATTACACGTCCGCTTGTGCTTTGGATTCGATTTGTTGTGAGTATTTTGTAACGGTCAACATTTTAATAACAAAGTGAAAAAAAATTTATTTTTGCTACTGTTATGGGAATCGATATTGACTTGAAATCAAACAGAGGAAAGGATTTCATCGAGAGTGTAAACAAGTAAATATGTCTGATAATATTATGTCAAAATAACGTAATGACATATTTTGAAAATATGACAAAACTTCACTCTAACTTTTTAAAAGAGATGACTAAATGTCTTAGACATAGAAAAATCGTTCAAAACACATTAAAGAATGTTTGCTTTTAGCGTTCTTGATTTGGCATTACAGCGATGCTCACAACCGTGGACTTAATTCCATTCGATTTTTCGCTGGACTAATTTATACAAACAAGAACAGGAAAATTTATACAATCAAATATGGTAATATTTTATTAACAAATTGCGGGTCAACTATAATATACACATCAATATACTTAAAAGGTTTTTGAGGAAAATATCAAAGTGCATTTGGCTGCAAAGTGTGATAATCCGTCTGGAAATTCCGAATATCAATGGAATAAGGCGCACCTTCCCTTCATTCCGTTGTATATCGAGGGAAAAATGACCGAAGAATTAGTTAAACAGCAAATTGAATCGTTTTTGATAGCTGGATATGAGACAACAGGTTCTGCTACGGCTTTTGCCATTTTGGCGCTAGCCATGCATCCGCACATACAAGAACAAGTCTTCAAAGAATTACGCTTGGTCTATGAGAGTCAAGACGAAGAAACCACTAATGAACATATACAAAAGCTGCATCTTCTAGACCGTGTTATCAAGGAAACTCTACGACTATTTCCAACTGCGCCAAATCTTTTGCGATCAACCAGTGATATGGTATCAATCAGCAATTGTACACTTCCAAAAGATACTTCGGTTATATTATCAATCTTTACAATGCACCGGGTATATCAACGGCGAAGTTGTCTAATTTTTAATTTCTGTTGAGATCGCTTTTCGTTGTTATTTTAGAGAAAAGATGTCTGGGGCGATGCAGAGGAATTCAATCCATATCATTTTCTACCGGAGAACGTTGAGAAGCGACATCCGTTTGCATTTGTGCCATTTGGCGGTGATCCGCGTCTAGGGGACATTCATACTAGAAAAACTAGTGAAACTAGCAGCAACTAGCAGCGACTACCAAGCACTAGCATATTATAGTCCAAAGCAAATGAATTGAGGCATGTAAAATATATTGTAGCATGCGTAAGTTGCTTGCAAACGAACCAAGTGAATAGCGGAGACGCACGAAAACGAAGTGAGTGAATAGCGACAACGAACGTTGTTATCCGTTGCCGCAATATCGTGCGTCTCCGCTATTCACTTGGTTCGTTTACAAGCGACTTAAGCATTACTGTTGTTTCTTTTATGTATCATACGATACGTCTAGGTAATTTCAAAACACTAGAAAAACTAGCCGCTACTAGCAGCACTAGTGTACTCACTAGTAATACTAGTAAGCGATTAGCGAATACGTAAATAAAACTAGCTTACTAGAATTGCTACGAATGTCCCCTAGGTCCGCGTAACTGTATTGGTATGCTATGCCCTCAACAAATATTTAAAATGGAGAAGTGCTCACCTAAAATTTGAATATAACTATTCGCAGGCTATCAATATGCAATGTTCTCAATGAAAGTCATGTTATCGGCTATTTTGCGCAACTTCCAATTCAGCACGCAGCTAACCATGTCCGATCTCGAATTATGTTTTGATGTCTCGTTAAAGTTGAAGAACAAGCATATGGTTCGTCTTGTGCACCGTAGTTGGCAATTTTAAGATGTAATTCCGGTTTGATTATGTGGATTTAAACTTCGTTACATTGAATTTTTAAACAAAAAATATGAAAGGAGTTATTGAATTGTTTTTTTTTTTGCCAAATCATTGTTCTGATTCAAAATATTTTTTCAAATATAATAAATAAATATAAATCTGCATAAAAACATACTCTCTATTCTTATCTCATTGCTTGTTAACTTGTATATAGTCAGTATATTAAAAAAGACGACTCACATTGTGACCTTGACAAAACATTTTATTGATTAATTGTCTGTGTTAGCTTAACACTTCAATCCAAAAATAAATATAATAAATTGAATATTGGTAAATTTGCAAGCAATAAACAGTGACTTTTCAAAATCATTCTGGATAGGTCGAAATTGCAATTTTTTGTAATATAAATAAGTTTTTTGTGTTGAATCAAAACCGGATTTGCAAAAACGATATCCAGACCGAAATGGCTTTCGTTTTTTTTAAATATAATTTATCAACGTTCTATAGATGAAATTTGATTATAAAAGAGACTTGTACCTATTGTGCGCGCTTTTAGTTGAGTTCTAAAGTTGTTTAAATTAACAGGTGTAAATCCCAATAAAAATGATTATATTGCCATTATTTGTAGTGCTAATGACGTGGGCTATAGCTAAATACATTTTGAGAATGTATAATTACGAAAGATATGTAAACCATTTGAAATTTAAACGACCATTTTTTCCATTTTTTGGAAATATATTTTCATTTGTTGGATTGTCTCCAGCTGAATTATTCAGTGAATTTGTTCGATTTGCAACCGAAAGTGAAACTCCATTAAAGACATACATCGGATCGCAACTGGTTATAACCTTAGATAAGCCCGAAGATGTGAAAGCTGTTCTCATGTCGCCAAATTGCCTCGATAAGCCATTTGTCTATGATTTTTATCCATCTCCAAACGGGATAATAACACAAAGATGTAAAAAAAATTAAAAAGATTGTTGGAAACGTCATTTCTTAAATTGTGTGTTTTTTTTTTTTCAGCGGGAGCCAAATGGAAACCAGTTCGTAAATTGTTAAATCCAATGTTCAATTTGAAGACATTGCAATCATTTATACCAATTTTTAATGAGAAGACGAAGTACCTTGTGAAAGAGCTGGAAAAAGAGGTTGGAAAATCAGCTTTTGACATCATGACATATGCAGAAGATTGTACATTGGACGAAATTTGTTGTAAGTATTGTATAAAACGCTGTGAAATTTTGAATAATTTTTTTTTTCTGAAAATAAATATTAGCTACGGTAATGGGGCTTGATATCGATTTGAAATCTAACCAAGGAAAGGAATTTATCCACAGCATGTCTGCGTAAATACTCTCAGCAAATCTACATTTAACATTGAGCTCTTGTTTTTCTAACTATTTCCATCACTTTTTCAAGTGTTTTTGATATTATCGTGCACCGATTTACCAGGCCATGGATTCACTACGATTTCACTTATCGATTTACAAAATTATACAAAGAGGAACGAAAACTACTGGAAAACATAAGAAATTTAACGAATCTGGTAAGATTTTGAACTTTTTTTTTATTTCAATAATTTTAAAATAATATTTAAATCAATGTTGATAGGTTTTCGATGAAAAGATCAAGGCTTTTGAATCAAACAATGGCCGTTCCTGCAGAGATGATAAATATCTTTCGAAGGGACCTCACATGCCACTTATAGAGCTATTTATTGAAGGAAAACTCAGCGAAGAAATGGTCAAGCAACAAATTGAAATAATTATAATGGCTGGTTTTGATACAACCGCAACAACTACCGCTTATGTAACTTTAATGTTAGCAATGCACCCACATATTCAAGACCAAGTTTTCAAAGAGTCACAGATGATTTTCAAGGCACAAAACGAAGACATAACTTATGAACATATTCAAAAAATGAATATTCTAGATCGCGTAATTAAGGAAACAATGCGCCTATTTCCAGGTAAATTGAAACAAATATAAAAAGTGAGAAAAATCAAATAAAAATATATCTGTTCCAAGTGGCTGCATTGACGTCCCGTGTATCTACTAATGAGGTATCGATTAGCAACTGCGTTCTACCAAAAGATACGGTGTTTGAAGTCGCAATTTATACATTGCATCGGGTATAATAAACATTTAAAAAGTTGAAAATCATCCATTACACGATTTAACAAATTTTAGAGGCGAGACATTTGGGGCGATCACGCGAATGAATTTAATCCAGATCATTTTCTGCCAGAGAACGTTGAGAAGCGGCATCCATTCTCGTTTCTTCCATTCAGTGGTGGTCCTCGTAACTGCATTGGTATGCCATAAGTCTTGCATCGTCTTTTTTTTTTTTTTTTTTTTTGAAGTGAAAATATTCATTTTAACTAAAACTGTTTTCAGGTTATCAGTACGGAATGTTTTCTATGAAAATCATGTTATCGGCTATTTTGCGACACTATAAATTCAGCACCGATCTAAAAATGTCAGAACTTAAGACCAAATTTGAAATTCTCCTAAAACTTGAGAATAAACACATGGTTAAAATTGAAAGACGCAATTGGTCCAATTGAATGTTTAGCATTGTGTAAACTAAGCTGGGGTTTGAATTCTGTTATTGTTGATTTGTTTTTTTTTTTTTTCATAAAGTGTAATTTATTATTTTAATATTAAAATTTTATTCAGAATTGAATGAATCTAAAAATTCATTGTTATTTTTTTAAGCTACATATAAAAGTCGTGTAAAATTGGTCAATTCGTGTAAATAGAGTAAAATTTGAAATTCGTGTACAAAAAATCGTGTCCAAAACGAATCAATTCGAGTGTAGAAAAATATTGTTTCGTGATCAAAATAAAATTAGTACGTTTTGTTCTCTGGTTACGTACTATATATCCAGCTTATTTCCATAGTTTCATTAATTATCAACTTAATAACGTGAAGCGACAGACAAAATTCTAAAAATGATAGCAGTGACATTGATAGTGATGTTTGTGATTTGGGCGATCATAAAATATATCTTGACTATGCGCCACACCGAAAGTTTTGTTAAAAATGTGAAATTTCAAACTTTCTTTGTTCCATTTATTGGAAACCTACTTTCACTAGTTGGAAAATCACCAGTGGAGATTTTTAAAACTTTAATTAAATCTTTGGCTCAAAAAGATACACCATTGAAATTTTATATTGGCACAAAACTATTTGTTACTCTCAATAAACCGGAAGATGTGAAAGAAATTCTGATGTCTCCGAATTGTTTCGATAGGCCGTTCACGTCTGAATTAGTTCCATTTAAAAATGGAATTCTGAACGAAAGATGTAAGTATTATTAAGTGGCATTAATTTAAAAATGTTGATTAAGTCTTCCACAAGTCTTCGACGAATTACGCTTGGTCTATGAGAGTCAAGACGAAGAAACCACTAATGAACATATACAAAAGTTGCATCTTCTAGACCGTGTTATCAAGGAAACTCTACGACTATTTCCAACTGCGCCAAATATTTTGCGATCAACCAGTGATATGGTATCAATCAGCAATTGTACACTTCCAAAAGATACTTCGGTTATATTACCAATCTTTACATTGCACCGGGTATATCAACGGCGAAGTTGTCTAATTTTTAATTTCTATTGAGTTCGTTTTTCGTTGTTATTTTAGAGAAAAGATGTCTGGGGCGATGCAGACGAATTCAATCCAGATCATTTTCTACCGGAGAACGTTGAGAAGCGACATCCGTTTGCATTTGTGCCATTTGGCGGTGGTCCGCGTAACTGTATTGGTATGCTATGCCCTCAACAAATATTCAAAATGGAGAAGTGCTCACCTAAAATTTGAATATAACTATTCGCAGGCTATCAATATGCAATGTTCTCAATGAAAGTCATGTTATCGGCCATTTTGCGTAACTTCCAATTCAGCACGCAGCTAACCATGTCCGATCTCGAATTATGTTTCGATGTCTCGTTAAAGCTGAAGAACAAGCATATGGTTCGTCTTGTGCACCGTAGTTGGCAATTTTAAGATGTAATTCCGGTTTGATTATGTGGATTTGAACTTCGTTACATTGAATTTTCAAACTGAATTACATTGAATTTTCATCTGGATAACGTTAGGTGATGATATGAAATGAAAACAATAGAAGTGATTGTTATAGTTATGGTAGTATTTTTATACCTATACAATACAACAATCACTTCCATTGTTTTCACTCCATATCATCGCTTTTCGTTATCCAGATGAGCTGAAATATCCAGATGACAAAATCCAAATATATTGTCTGGATATGAAAGAAGGCGATATTATTTTTTATTTTTTTCAAATATAATAAATAAATCTGCATAAAAACATACTCTCTATTCTTATCTCATTGCTTGTTGACTTGTCTAGTCAGTATATTCAAATCTATTTATTGAAGGAGAACTCAGCGATATCAAGCAACAAATTGAAATAATTATAATGGCTGGTTTTGATACAGCCGCAATCACTAACTTATGTAACTTTAATGTTAGCAATGCACCCACATATTCAAGACCAAGTTTTCAAAGAGTCACAGATGATTTTCAAGGCACAAAACGAAGACATTAACTTATGAACATATTCAAAAAATGCATATTCTAGATCGCGTAATTAAGAAAAAAAAATATCAGTTCCAAGTGGGTGCATTGACTTCCCGTGTACCTACTAATAAGGTATCGATTAGCTTGCTATAATATATATATTATATATACACATACTATATGCAGTATTAAAATTTTATTCTCATTTGAATGAATCCAAAATTTTATTGTTTTTTTTTAACCTACATGTAAAAGTCGTGTAAAATTGGTCAATTCGTGAAAACTGAGTAAAATTTGAAATTCGTGTACAAAAAATCGTGTTCAAAACGAATAAATTTAAGTGTAGTGATCAAAATAAAATTAGTCCGCTTTGTCCTCTGGTTACGTACTATATATACAGCTTATTTCCATAGTTTCATTAATTATCAACTTAATAACGTGAAGCATCAGACAAAATTCTAAAAATGATAACAGTGACATTGATAGTGATGTTTGTGATTTGGGCGATCATAAAATATATCTTGATTATGCGCCACACCGAAAGTTTTGTTAAAAATGTGAAATTTCAAACTTTCTTTGTTCCATTTATTGGAAACCTACTTTCACTAGTTGGAAAATCACCAGAGGAGATTTTTAAAACTTTAATTAAATCTTTGGCTCAAAAAGATACACCATTGAAATTTTATCTTGGCACAAAACTATTTGTTACTCTCAATAAACCGGAAGATGTGAAAGAAATTCTGATGTCTCCGAATTGTTTCGATAGGCCGTCCTCGTCTAAATTATTTCCATTTATAAATGGACTTCCGAACGAAAGATGTAAGTATTATTATTTATCAGACATTATAAAGAGATACTTTCAGCCAGATGAATCAGCTCAGCCAGATATCGTCAGGAGCTGAAATGGAGTGAAAACAATAAAAGTGATTGTTATAGTGATTATAGCAATGTAAGTGTAATTATAACCATAACAATCACTTCTATTGTTTCCACTCAATTTCAGCTGCTGACGATATCTGGCTGAGCTGATTCATCTGGCTGAAAATATCACATTATAATGTCTGTTATTTATTATTAAATGGTTTTAATTTATAAATGTTGATTAACATTGAAAATTCTCGTGAAGCTGCTGCACGTTGGAAACCACTTCGAAAATTGTTGAATCCAATGTTTAATTTGAAAACATTAAAGTCGTTTATACCAGTATTCAATGTAAAGTCAAGAATTATGTTAAAAGAACTGAGAGACGAGGTCGGAAGACCAGAGTTTAATTTACTACATTACACGTCCGCTTGTTCTTTGGATTCGATTTGTTGTGAGTATTTTATAAGACCCAACATTTTAAAAACAAAATAAAATAAGTTGATTTTTGATAGCTACTGTTATGGGAATCGATATTGACTTGAAATCAAACAGAGGAAAGGAGTTCATCGAGAGTGTAAAGAAGTAAATATGTCTGATAATTTTATGACAAAACTTCACTCTAACTTTTCAAAAGAGATTTCAAAACACATTAAATAATGTTTGCTTTAAGCGTTCTTGGCTTTACAATACAGCGATGCTCACAACCGTGGACTTATTTCGATTCAATTTTTCGCTGGACCAATTTATACAAGCAAGAACAGGAAAACTGCGCAATCATCCGAAACCTATCAAATATGGTAATATTTTATTAACAAACTGTGGGTCCACTATAGTATACACATTAATATACTTAAAAAGGTTTTTGAAGAAAAGACCAAAGCGCTTTTGGCTGCAAAGTGTGATAATCCGTCCGGAAATTCCGAATATCAATGGAATAAGGCGCACCTTTCATTCATTCCTTTGTATATCGAGGGAAAAATGAGCGAAGAATTAGTTAAACAGCAAATTGAATCGTTTTTGATAGCTGGATATGAGACAACAGGTTCAGCTACGGCTTTTGCTATTTTGGCACTAGCCATGCATCCGCACATACAAGAACAAGTCTTCGACGAATTACGCTTGGTCTATGAGAGTCAAGACGAAGAAACCACTAATGAACATATACAAAAGTTGCATCTTCTAGACCGTGTTATCAAGGAAACTCTACGATTATTTCCAACTGTGCCAAATATTTTACGATCAACCAGTGATATGGTATCAATCAGCGATTGTACACTTCCAAAAGATACTTCGGTTATATTATCAATCTTTACAATGCACCGGGTATATATGCGGAGTTGTCTAATTTTTAATTTCTGTTGAGATCGTTTTTTGTTGTTATTTTAGAGAAAAGATGTCTGGGGCGATGCAGACGAATTCAATCCAGATCATTTTCTGCCGGAGAACGTTGAGAAGCGACATCCGTTTGCATTTGTGCCATTTGGTGGTGGTCCGCGTAACTGTATTGGTATGCTATACCCTCACCAAATATTTAAAATGGAGAAGTGCTCACCTAAAATTTGAATATAACTATTCGCAGGCCATCAATATGCATTGTATTCAATAAAAGTAATGTTATCGGCTATTTTGCGCAACTTCCAATTCAGTACACAATTAACAATGTCCGATCTCGATTTATCGTTTGATATTACGTTAAAGCTGAAGAACAAGCATTTGGTTCGTCTTGTGCACCGTAGTTGGTAATTTTAGGGTGTAATTCCTACTCGATTATGTGGTTTCCTTAGAACTAACGGAGAATTATATGAATGAGTTGGAATATATTGAAAAATTCAACTTTTAACAAAGCATCCAAAATAAATTAATTAAATTTTGTAATTTTGTGGTAGTATGGTGGATACAGAGTAAAATAAAAATAAAAAATGAAATAATCCTGCTTTTATTTGTAATGCAATTGAAACAAATATTGGAACTATTCGACTGCAACAAAAAACCAGATTTTCGATGTAGTTTTTTCTTGTGTTATACAAGTCGTTTTATCGACAGAAAATAGGATCAGTTCTTCTTTGAAATATTTTTCTTTATTCCTTTTAATAAAATCGTGAAAAGGTCTAATTAATATTTCCTCAACAACTCAAAGCATCATACTCTTTGAATGTGATAGCCTCTTATATCAAGATAAAAGCGTTGAAATATTGAATAAGTTTGAACCCAAGTAAATGAAGACCCATTCATCGTTCGTGCAGCACATTAATGCCGTTTATAATTTATAATACGTAAATGGATGTCCGTTATTGTGCGAATTGCTTTAGTTATGAAAACATATATGCTGCACTTTGACTTTGGTAGCTATTCCATAACTTGCAACAGTTTAGCTGTGTATAATGTTAAACTTATTTTGTTGCAATCTTATAATCGGATTAAAGTTTTCGCTTCTGTATCGAGCAATGGCCATCTATTGACAGTAATTATTTAACTGGAACAGTGTTTCGCAAAGGAAGCGAAAGGATTTCGCTGAGAGAAACGGCAAAACGCCACTCTGAAATTGCCAATGTTTGTTGTTATAAAGATTTAGTCGTTGGTTAACGACATTTTAATTTGACGATAATTGGACCACCCATTGGTGATGGCAATTCATTACTGCAACCGTTTAAGTGTGTGTGCGCGTGATGATGATTTTATGTTGCATTTAAATTAGTCGAGTTTGTATCTTTATAGTCAGAATATATTTATATTCTGCATCATAAATATCGAAAAAACATGGCAAGAATGTTGGCATTCGCAGGGCGATAATTACGTGTGCATGCCGTCGGTTAGAAGATTTTCACTCATTCGGCTCATCTGTTTCATTTTTCTGTTGCTCTCAATGAAGTCACTCAATCACCTTGAATGATACATCATTCGGTAATTTATTTACTTGCATAGCCACACACGCGCGGGCATTCTATTTTAAAAGATACATGTATATATTTTTGCTCGTCAACAAACGATGTTTTTGATGGATCTGCTCATTGTTTAAATGAAATTCGAAAATTTTACACTTTAATACAATTGAAAATGGTTTCAATGCGAAGATCCATTTTTTTTCTAAATGAATAACATCGATTCATATGTCATTTTTGGTGTTTATTTGATTTCCTGGTTCCGATGCGGTGGCAAAAACGGGAAATTCAATGAAAAATACTGCATTGAAATGCGAACTTTTTTTTCGCTGTAAAACTCACACTTTTTTTCTGTGTTACCCACTTGACAGTTCGAACAAAAGTTCAGGAAATTAATGTTTGTGGTGCGCAGCCCTCCATAAAAGATTCAATATGAGCACATGATACATTTGACATTCGGCATGTGCTCATATCGATTTTTTTTCCAACAAATTCAGAGAGAGAAAAAATTGTTTCATTCTATTATATCTAAAGAGATTTCTAAATTGGAACGACACTTTTTTTCTAGCCTTTTTATCTTGGTGTTCAAATAAAATGGCCTTTTGTTCATTTCAAAAGTTGGCCTCATTTTTTTCTTTCAAAATTTCGATTCAAATGCGTTTCTTTTTTTGTAAATTGAAAATGGAATATTTATGATAACGTCAATATTCTGTTAATTTCCTGAAAAGTATTTCATTTAAAAAAAAAATCACGATTTCGCACAAATGTAAGAAATTTCATCGAAAAGCCCTGATAAATTGACGACTTGTGCTCATTTGTCGAACAAATCAGTAAGTGATTGAACAATTTGGCTCGAATGGAAAGTTCTTTGCGTTGTCTTTATTCGAGATTTTGATATATAGTATGCACAGTTCCGACGGCATGTCTCATTCCTTGCGAAAAAAATAGCACAAATCATCTCAGCGACGGCAAAAACCGCCATACGTTTAAAAAACGGAGAATTATCAACTCAATGTTACTCGGCGGCTGAGGAAATTAAGAGAAAAAAACAAGAGGAAATACCCGTCAGATTCGTTCACAACTGTTATCTCATACTTCCAAACGACGATTTGGTTTACTGTTTTCGCGTTCGCAGCCGCGGCGGTTTCTAAAGGTTTTTTCATAGCTCGGATTTTCGAAGGAAAAAAAAATTATCGAAAATGAAGTTTAACAACAAACGCAGTGAAACTCAACTAACTACCCAAAACTGAAACCCCTCTGTACATAGAAAATACTGTCAGGACAAAAAGTTGCTCACTCTGACTATTGTCAGCATATGATAGGTTGAAAAAAAATTATAAAAGCAAAGAAAAAGTTGAAGTTCAAACATTTAAGCAGGATTCTTTTAACTCAAAACCTTCCCAAATGACATTCAGACATATTGCTAAACAAATTAAAAATATATTTACAAGTTTTCGTCCGAATTCAGACATTTCAGATACTTTCGGAGTAATGTTCAATTTAGAAATGTATGAAGTAGGTACTTTTTATGAAAATGTTTGAAAGTAATGTTAGTCGACATTGTCAACGACCATATCATGTAAAAAGCACCAGTTCTCGTCTGATCACTGAAGTTAAGCTGCATTGAGCATGGTTAGTACTTGAATGGGTGACCGTCTGTGAACAACCTGTGTCGTTGGCACTTTTTTTATCAACTCATTATTTTTTCTTTTATCGATTAGAAATTACATAACGAAATTTTTTTCTTCTAACGACATAATTTCCACCATTCAAAGATACATTTTCATTTAACTGAAAATCATCTATCATAATCCATTTTAAAATGAAAAAAACGTGCTTTAATAACACCTCGAAATTCAAAGCCTTTTTTTAAATATTAATTTAAATACTCGCATTAAAAAAATAAAACCTGAAAAAATATGTTCTTCCGGAAATCCTTTGCGTTTTATTCAAAATGTTTATCTGTGAAGATTGTCAGCAGCGACGTGAAGTGCTCATTAGCTGAATGCAATCCAGTCCATAAATAAACAATGGAGTATAACAAAAAACCGAGGAGACAGTCACAAAAAATAAGCGCGTCATTGTCATTGTGAAAAAAAGCAATTAAAAATGCTGCCAAAATGGGTATTTTCGTATTTATGTTTACAAAACGGCTTCTCCGCTTGATAATTATGAATGTGAGCAAACAAATAAATTTATTAGCATTTTTATTCGGATTGCGTCGCCTCAACGTTATTACCAAATTAAGAAAGTGAAATGAAAAAATAATAAAAAGTAAATTAAGATCATCGGTTACTGTGCGAGTGGCAGTGTGGCATTCGATGCCAGCACACCAAGTGTACTCAGCAAATGATGAAGATGTTTTTCCCTTTAAAATTATTACGACGAGGATAAAAAAATAGAAATAATTATGAAGGGGAACGAGAGTGGGAGAGAAAGAGTGACGAAAATATATATTGTAATGAAAATGATAAAAAGATAGAATAACTCAAGTCATATCAAGATTGCCTGTTTCTGGTGACAATGAAACTGTGGTTGAGCTGAGAAATGTAAAAACAAACAAAAGTCAAAACTTTCAGTACATAATTTACTGTTGAAAGCCGTGAACAGCTTGGCTCAGCATCAAAGCACGAACTTTGATAGGAATCATGCGTTAATACGATACCGTAGAAACGAAATCTCGGACCGAAGAAATTCGAAACAACACCCATCACACCGAAAAAGAAACCATCCGTTCTTTCTTTTAACGCAAAGAGAGAGAAGAAAAAAACGAAAGCAGATAAATCTTCGGATACTGCTGAAACAACAAAACCTCAAGCGATAAGGAAAACGTTATTTTTCGCGCATTTTCTTTCCCTCTACAGCTTTGCACTGCAAAACATTGAATGTTATCTAACCGCCAAACTTTTCGCTGAGACAAACTGAGAAGGTGTAATGCAAATGCGCAGCCAACAATGGACCGCGAAAATTATTATGTAACCGTGCACATGGTGTTAAAATGTCTTTTGTGAAAAACAATACTCGAATAAATTTCCACAACACAGTCAACAATAATAATTACAGCTATTGTTTACACACACTAACGCCGATGGAAAAGACGGCATATTTGAAATGATTTTGAAGGATTTGTCTCTTTCAAAATTCACAAGAAAAATTGAAAGTTAGAAGTATCATTTTGGTGAAATACATTCGTCTGAAATTGCAACAAGAAGATGCTATCACTGAAAGAGAGGATGATTTTCAGGAAAAATAAGTGTGGTGCCATTTAGATGATGTTAGAAAAATCACCACAGGATATTTTGAGCACTGCATTTTTGCGTATAAACTGCGAGAAATCCTACTCTATCGCAAACATTGAATCTCCAAATACTCCAATTTAACATAGAAGTTGTAAAATCACCAGTGGGGAGCGTTTAGAATGACTTTTTTCGGGTTAACTGTTGTAATGTTAGGGGTAAAAAAGAGACTTTGCAAAAAAAAAAAAAACGAAAATCCATTGGCGATTTTTCAAGCACCAAAAAATCATAAAATTAAATCAAAGCCATTGCGTTGGCAAACATATGCTGCAAAAACGAAGGGATATCGCTTCGGTTGAAGAGTTTGAAACTACCTTTGTTGCTTGTGAATAAATCCATTTTTATACTGTCGTTGGTTGAAAGTGTTATGATTTTGAAACCGCGTGAGCGTATCGAGTTCAATGACAATAGAAATAAATGGCGCTCAACCGTAACCGAATGCTCTCCGTAATACGGAGCATTTGCATCGGATTCATATTTTAATCTAATAAAAATTGAGCTAAATCATCTTGTATTCATGGCGATGGTCATCATGTGGCTCGTAATAATCGCATATCGTAAAAGGGGAGAAATTGAATGCTGCCAAAAAATAGAACATAGTCTTACCACAAAAAAGATGTTGTTACCATTTATGTTCCATTTTATTTGTGTATTTTATGAGCTAAGATGCGACACGGAATCAATGTTACTACGCTCTCTCTCTCGCTATGCGTATTCAA